GAAGCGCAGAAAACAAATGGTATGCCACAATGAACGCTTTGCTTTAAGTGTTTCTCTCTTATAAAAACGGCGACGGTTGCTTGGCAAAGCGTAAAAAGATGAGAGTTGCCCAACATTTTGCTTGGCTTCGTGTCGAAAACTTTTTATGCGAACGTTCTCATACAAAAGCCTACATCGAACTTTTCTGCCAAAACAAATGTTTGTCGTAAAGCAAAGAAAAAGTTTCATGAGGATTAGCTATAAGAGTTATTGTTTTGGTTAGCAGTTTGTTACTTCTAACATACAAAGTGTCAGTTCACACACGGACCGTTCTTTAACCCAAACCAGTTTATTGTATGTATGAATGGGTTTTTAATACACCCCGAAAGATTGGGAAGTTCCTGTCATAAATTTGGGCTTGAAAATATTAGCAGCGAGTATCAGTAAATTTTGGTGGATTAGGGAATTCCCGACTTAAGTATTTCTTTGAAAGTATTAAGCGGGTATTATGCATATTGTTCTACCAAATTCATGGTAGTTCCATGTAAGCAAAATGTGAGACCACTATCCCAACATACGATTGAAATATGCAACACACTCTAAGTATCGCGTAGCCGAACCGCAAAAACATTTGCGAAAATTTTATAAAAAGGAATGATAGAAAAACTGCACTCGAGTTGCTGGACTCTTTTTGCTCTTGTGAACGTACAGAGCGAAACCAAAAGAGAATTTGCCGATTATGAGCGACAAAAGGTAAACGCAGTAAAATATGTTAGCGCATTTGTTACCCATTTGTAAGCAGTTATAGCACGTTCACATATAAGCAGGTTATGATTAATTAAAATTAACATCGGAGCTAACCTTGTTGCGTTCCCATATAGCATAGATAACCTAATCAAAAGATAGCTATTAGCAGCTTGCATTTGTATGTTTTTTTTTTAACATATTCTCTTAGTTTGATTGTAAGAACAGCAAACTTGTTAAAAATAAATTAATAAAAGAATGATGAAACACGACTAGCAGAACAAATCAGAATTGATGATAAACTGCCAGAAGCAACGTATTCGTAGTTGCCAGAATATTCTAGTAGCGAACTTTTGTTAAAAATTTACTATATAAGGGCTGCCGGATTGTGCAGCAGATACAGTTCTAATTAGAGTGTTGCCGTGTAAAGAGCAGAGTTGTAAGTTCGAATAGCGAGCAATAAGTGTTAAGTTGTTGGAATTAGAAATAAAGATAAGTGTATAGCATTAAATTGGGACTTTAATTTAACAATCCAGTGATCGATCTCAAGAGTGAGTTATAGTTAGACGATTTATCGAGAAATCCGTTACAATTGGTGTCAGAAGTGGGATTGTCAAATAAATTCCCAAGGAGATAATTATTTGAAAATGGCCAAGTTTAACGATCTGTAGATTCCACAACTGAAAAAGGAGCTGGAACAACGTAGTTTGGCGACAAATGGATTAAAAACTGAATTACAATCACGGTTGAGAGAGGCCATGGAGGCGGAAAACATTAATGTTGAGAAATATGTCTTTTACATGGAATTAGAAGAAGATACAACAAAGATAGAAGAAAAGAAAGAGGCTCAATGCTCGTCAAAGATTGTGGACATAAACATGGTTTTTGCTGCAATATCGCAAATGTCAACGCAAATGTCGACACAATTTAAAGAGCAGGATGCACGTATAACCCAACAAATAGCAGAGGTGTCATCACAAATGTTGACACAACAATCCCAATTGTCCTCGTTAGGAACGCGGTTGGAAGAGCAGTTCTTTCAAATGGAGTCACGAAATCGCCGCCAGAAGGCCAATGAGTCGTTGCAGGAGAGTTAAACATTTAAAGCTCATAAAGTAGAAATAGAGGAACACACTTGGTTGAACCAATTACTTGAAAAAATTGACAACATGCAGAAAGCACTGGAAAAATCTACGGAAGCGCATAAGAAAAATGATGGTGTGCTTAAATGCTTCAACTGCGGAAAAAGTGGCCATATTGCACGCAACTGTAACATGCCCAATAATCCAGTTGGACGAAACCGAAAAGCTTAGGCCAAAGAAGACATTATAGATGTCCGATTAATAACAATAACATCAGACTAGGATCCGGAGAAGCTACGGAAATGTCAGCAAGAGGATCCAGATTTGAAAAGTGTAATACACGGATTGGAGATGAATAAACGTCCAACAAGAGAAGAAATAGCTGCAGAAAGCGCAGTCGCAAAGGCTTATTGGGCACAATAGAATAGTTTGAAGTTAGTGTCTGGATGCTTGCATCGCGTATGGGAAATCGAAGATGGGCAAAGTTCACGAGCTCTGATGATTGTTCGAAACGTAAGAATTCCCGAAGTTCTCAATGCGCTGCACAACGGTCCAAATGGAGGACACACGGGTATCACTAAAACTTTGGAGAAATTAAAACAAAGATTTTATTGGGTTGGTTGTCGTCTATCAGTGGATCGCCAATTGTGTCGAGTGCATTGCTGCTAAAGGGCCGCGGTCCAGGATTCATGGTCAAATAAAGCAGTACAATTCAGGTGCGCCGTTTGAGCGAGTAGCCATGGATGTAGCTGGTCCATTTCTTATCAGTAAATAAGGAAACCGATATTTTTTGGTAGTCATGGACTATTTCAACAAATGGCCAGAGGTATACGCAATTCCTAACCAAGAGGCAGGAACAGTAGCGGATGTATTCATCAACAATTGGGTATCGAGATATGGTGTTCCAATAGAATTACATTCTGAGCATGGAAGAAATTTTGAATCAGCTCTAATACAGGAGATATGCCAAAAGTTGGGTATTCGGAAAACCCGTACAACTGCACTACATCCGCAGTCCGATGGCATGGTAGAACGATTCAATCGAACTTTGGAAGAACATTTGAGGAAAGTTGTGGACAAGTATCAGAAAGATTGGATACCCATATATCCTTGTTCCTGCTGGCTTATCGGTCTGCTGTACATGAAACAACGGGGCGGACTCCAGCAAGGGTAATTTTTGATAATGATCTTTGACTACCGATTGATTTAAAATTTGGAATTAACGCCAACGGAGAAAGGATCCTAGAAGACGAGATAAGTGATATACATGCTATGCACAATACGACAAGGTAATAAACACTGCAGGTTTTATTGAAGGCGATTGGGTATTGTTATATAACCCACAACGAAAGAAAGGGCTGTCTCCCAAGTTACAGTGTAATTGGAAAGGACCATACCAGGTTATTAAACGCCTCAATGATGTAGTGTATCGCATACAGACCATTGGAAGACCAAGGAATAAAATGAAGGTGGTTTATCTGGAACGGCTTGCAGCGTTTGGTACCGCAAATATGTCTAATCGGGACGATCAGACTTAGGTAGAGGGCAGTATGGTGAACACGAGTATCAGAACAAATCAGAATTGACGATAAACTGCCAGAAGCAACTAGACAGCGAATTCGTAGTTGCCAGAATGTTCTAGCAGCGAACTTTTGTTAAAAATTTACTATATAAGGGCTGCCGGATTGTGCAGCAGAGACAGTTCCAAAAAGAGTGTTGCCGTGAAAAGAGCAATTAAGCTATAAGCAATAAGTTGTAAGTTCGAATAGCGAGCAATAAGTGTTAAGTTGTTGGAATTGGAAATATAGATAAGTGTATAGCATTAAACTGGGACTTTAATTTAACAATCCAGTGATCGAGCTCAAGAGTGAGTTATAGTTAGACGATTAATCGAGAAATCCGTTACAATATCTTTACTGTTGTTTGCTGAAAACCAAGAAGAAAGCAATAAATATCTAGCATTGAATTACTGTAGCCGACAGTGTAAAGGTGCTATCCAGCAGTGTTAGCAGGAATTAGAGAGCTCGATAATATCAACTTATTACAAAATATTTATGTTGACAACAATACCTCTTTGTAAGGAAATAAACCCAAGAAATATATGGGCATATGTAAATAAAAAAAGCACAATAAATGGCTTATAAATACATTTAAAATAAACCTATAGTTTAAAAGCGACATGGCAACTTTTGGGAGAATAATGTTCCTTCAATGCACAACCGTGTTTTAAGGAAACCTTTCGTATAAGCAGGGCAACCTTTGAAATATTCTGTGAATATGTCAAAGGTATTACCGAACAAGATTCATGCTGTAGAAAGTGCATCCCGAAGTCGACAACTAAATACATCAAAAATGTTCCTCTTATAATTAATGCATCCTGAACATTGCATAACTTTTTAAATTTGCCATAATGATGTCATCAACCACAAATGGATAGAAAAACAAATCACTTACGAAAGCAGTGTACGTCTGGCCATTGTATAAGCTTAAGTGTGACACAGCTGAGATAATCTATTGAATCTTTTTTAAACACAGAGATGTAAATAAAAGGAATGTAGTTTAACAACTTGTTTGTGAACATGTATTTGTAATGGAGAATGTTATGTTAAAACTTTCAAGAATATTTTCGAAACTAAAGGTTATTTTATATTTATTGCTTTTCCTCAACACTTTTGAGGTTGTAATATAGGGGCGTTACCAATCGTTTTGGGTGTTCGGTTCCCCAGGAATCCTATATTCACCCATTTAATATATACAGTTCTAAAACAATCTACTTTTCGTAACAAATATAATTCGAAAAGATATATACATAAAATCAGGTACATGAATCAGGCTCATGAATATTAATTACATTAACAATATAAGTATCTATTCTATATAACATTAACAATATAAGTTGAAAATTTCAACTTGATTTAAATAAAAATGAAAAAAATATATAATATATATAAAAATCAGGTACAATTCAATTGTATTCATGAACAAATATCAGTGAAAACAATCTACTTGTATTAATTTTAACAAAAATAAAAGAAGAAAATATGAGGTTCTACTTATTAAATGTAAATTTAATCTTTAGGAATCTTAATAATTAAAAACTATTTGAATATGTAATAAACACATGCTTAAAGTTATAAATTTTAAAACATAACACGGCAACACACTGTCGCAGATTTGTGTTAATTGAACGTTTTAGTAGTAGAATATTAGTTGGCAACCCGTATCAAGTGTGACTTTAGTAGTACAATATAAGTGTAACCCGTACCAAGTGGGCAATTTTTACATGTATTTAGTGAAAATGTTACGATTGGTTACTTGTAGATTTATACAATACGTCTGACACAGCCTGAGTACACGGATGCTGTAGTAGATTTTGAAGCAGAAAAGACAATTAGAATAGTGAGTGCAAATTCATTTTGTAGTTTTTTCTATATTTTTCATTAAACAAACTAATTAGGTTCCTATAAAAAAATTTCGTATTATCCCTCATTTCTTTTAAAATATCTCTTCCGCAAGAACCGTTTTTTCGGTTAGTTCCACCATTCTTTTTTGCACCCCTGTCATGGACTCCATCTCTTTCCTAAAACTAGCGCAGTTTGTTTCAAACTCTCTACTAAACGCTCTTTGGTTAATTTCCTTCTTTTTGCAGGCTGCGGTGTCGTCGAAGATCCTGCTGGCTCATTCAATACTGTCTTCTGCTTCCACATCCTTAAAAGAGAATTGAAACAATAAAATAAAAAATTAATTAAAAAACCAAATAAAATTATAATTTTTATGTTACCTATACTCTATTGCGTGATTTCTTGGAAATTGACTGCCTTGTTACCAATCAATATTTCTTCCACATCTTTGTAGTGGACCCAAGGAGAAAGAGAACCACCAGTTATACCCACCGTCTTCTTTTCTAATCTATAAAATAAAATACATTTTATAATGGTACTCGCAGCAAAATAAATCTTTTTTATTTTTACATGCACTTGTATCTATTGGTAAAATTATGCACCTGCTCTTTTTCTTCTGCTGCAGTATACCTCATTTGCCTTTTCGTAAATTCACTTTAAATACGCGCAAAGGCATGTAAATTTTTTAGCGCTTCGCAGCTCATCAATACTGTCTGTCCAGTGCAGTAACAGCAATATCTTCGCATCCAACGTCCATAGCACACGGTTTTTTTTCTAATTACAATTTAATAAAATTATTATATATAAGTATATTTGTATGTATAAACAAGTAAGGAAGGGCTAAGTTCGAATGTGACCGAACATTTTATACTCTCGTAAAGTCAAATGGTATACCCGTTTGAGATTTCTTTGTGGATTGACTGATATTATATTTTCGGTAGAAGGTCAACTATAGGCACTGGGGTCCACATATTTAGAACTTAGGGGCTTGAACAGTTTTGGTTCGATTTAGACAATTTTTGGTCACAAGGTGGCATATTTTAAACGTATTATTAATGCAAAGTTTTACCCCGATATAATCATTGTTGCTTGATATGCATAGTGGAAAATGAAAGAATCAGATGGAATTGAAAATGGTATTATATAGGAAATAGGCGTGGTTGTAGTCCGATTTCGCCCATTTTCGCACTATAACATAGAAATATGAAAAGAACGTTATGCACCGAATTTGGTTGAAATCGGTTAAGCAGGTCCCAAGATATAGGTTTTCACCTAAAAGTATAATTTTGAACGCGGTTCCTATAAAGTCGTCTGATACCAGCCCAGAGATAAAATTAAATGTTTTTGGCGTGTTTAGTGCTTTGTTTATCGCGCTTTTAGTATTTTTCAACAGTACCGTTATATGGGGAGTGGGGGGGCTTGTCCCCGATTTCACCAATTTTCACACCGTCAATAGAGGTGCTAAAAACATTTGCTCCCAATGAATTTTGTTATTATAGCATTAACGGTTTAAGAGATATGCACATTAAACCTATTAGGGGCGGGACCGCGCCCATTTAAAAAAAATTTAATAGCAGATGCCCCTCCCTAATCTGATCCTGTGTACCAAATGACAGTCTTGCATCTTGTTGCGGAGCTTAGTTATGGCAATTTATTTGTTTTTGATTAATGGCGTTTTGTGGGCGTGGCAGTGGTCCGATTACGCCCATCTTCAATACCAACCGTCTCACGGTACCAAGAAACATGACTACATGACAAGTTTCATTAAGATATCTCAATTTTTACTCAAGTTACAGCTTGCACGGACGGACGGACAGACAGTCACCCGGATTTCAACTCGTCTCTTCATTATGATCATTTATATATATATAACCCTATATCTAACTGGATTAGTTTTAGGTGATACAAACAACCTTTAGGTGAACAAAACTATTATACTCTGTAGCAACAAGTTGCGAGAGTATAAAAATAAAAATGTATGTTAAAATTTATATTTACCGGTCTATCTTTATCCATTTTTAAAATTCGCAATAATTATTTGTCAGTTGCTGTCAAATTTAAGCAAATATATTCACAATAGATATTGAAGCGTCGCACTTCGAGGATATTCGATTACTTTACAATACAACGATGCGTATTTTGGTCGGTTATAAAACAACGACGTAGGTTATAGTGCAAAGCGAGGTTATGTTTACAAACAAATAATATGGCTAACCTCGTACTTTTAAGGGTAGGTTACGAGATAACCTGGTTAACTAAGCTAACGTGAGTATATGTGAACATAGTATAATATAATAAGCACATCTGTTATTTTATTTGCTTCGACGTGTTACTCTATTGGTTATCCATGTGTTACCTCTAACAAATGCATATGCTGATATATCGGCTACTTGTTTTTACCATAACCAATTCCAATTCATTCAAATAAAATTCAGTGTTTTTATAATATTTTTCTTTAATTTATTAAAAATTCCTATTTACTTGAACTAATTATTAAAATTAATTAACACCACATACGTATGTATATTTAATTTATATAGATATACAAATATATTTGTATATACACATAGCCAATAAAGTTTTCGTTCACCCGACACTATTTTTTAAGTGAAGTAAAAACACAATGTAAATAGGTAATTCAGTTAAAATTTTCTACATGTATTTCTTCTTTATACTTTTAAGTTCAAAATGCATAAACAAAAATGTATGTTCCTATTTTCAATTTTGTGATAACGGGATTTTAGTGTGAGGAGAAGTAAACATAGGCACCATTAAGTCTGCGTTAAAGGTACTTATATTGAAAGGAAAATTGATGAAATTCAGGATATTATAGCTGCCGCTAAAAATAATTTGATACATCCCGGAATGTTAACAAAAGAAGAAATAGATGGGTTAGATACTGATTTTTATAAACTGAAAGTATACAAGCAGGAGGCAATAATATTTGCTATACAAATCCCAAGATGTTTTTTAAAGAAAATGTAAAATTAATTACGTCATCACCAAATAAACAACAGTTGCAAATAAAGAAAATTAATTAATTGTAATAATAAATAAAGAACACTATGTGTATAAGGAAAATCCTGTATTTAAAAAATTAAAGCTGAGCAAGAATTGTATCTTTTCTGATGATTGTGAATTTATGAATAATAATAGATAGATCCTTCGTTCAAGACCTTGTAAATAATATCTTGAAGACCTGTGACCTTTCATCAAGATCGGTTGAGTAGTTCGCAAGAAATCTTGACAACCGACTTTGAAAACATAGTTTTGAGAAAAACGCGTTTAAAGTTTTAAGAGACAATAAAAGTGCCTATACCTGACCTCGAGCGTCCACCTTTTCAAGGCTGTATCTCCGAAACTATTAGTCGGATCAACTTGAAAATTTAGGACAATATTCTAGAGATGTTATAGAATTTAATAAAACAAAAAATACAATACAAATACAAGTAAGAATGCACATAATGAAAGTATCATTCAGTTTTTAGTTCAGTGTTTGTTCCTGAAGATCCACAATTACCATTCACAAATATATAATTCGCATGTCAGAAAACGAGAAATTCGGGAATATCTTAACGCATTCTTCGATGCAGTAGTTAAGCTGAAAGAAAAAGTCGTTGCAATTGGCGATGAGCCACTAACAATTTTTTTGTTGTTCAGTCTGTCGGCGTTGTACGAGACATTTAAGTGTGCGGTTGAAACGCGAGACGAATTCCCGATGCCAGACGTACTTCGAGAAAAATTCTCGAAAAGCATAAGTCGTCAAAAGAGAACAACGCAGAAAACAATAATGTTCTTTATATACAGAAAAAAAAATCAACCGTACGTTGATCGAAATTCGATGAATTCAAAGCAAACAAAAACTATCGGTGTGGTAAAGTGAGATATTTGGCGAGAAATTGCAATACCAAAACACAAAAGCAAAACATGAGTGTGAGTGTAGAAGGCGAAAGTGACATTAAATACAGATGTTTACAGGCCCTGAGAGAATAAGGAAATTTGGACAGTGGTTGTAATTACATCTCGTATGAGTATGTATACCAACACTTTTAAAAGTGTCAAGCAGATAAAAGAGGAACTAAGTTTTATTCAATTTTTATTTATTAGGTGGTGTTGGTAAAGTGTGAACTACGGTAGACGTTCGTGGAAAGCAAATCAATTTGGACTTAGAAAACCTTTTGGATGTGGCTCACTTAAGGACGAATTTGCTCTCAGTGACGATAAAATAATATTGGAAGCCGAATGGCGAATGCAAAAAACAGCGTTTATTTGTGGCATTACAAAATGAAATATGTTAACTGTTTGTCGCACGGGTTAAAATTTAAACAAACTGAGAAATCTGACTGTGAAATTTGTGCTAGTGTATAGCAAGTGCGTGCGGTTTTACATAAATGAGAAGGAAATAGAGGTGACGATTTACTTGAGATTAGTCACAGTGACGTGTATGGGGTAATGCAGAGAGCGTCCAATGGCGATTAAAAACATTTTGTAACATTTATTGACGAAAAGTCGAGGTGGTGTGAAGTATTTTTCCTTTTCATTTAAAACATTTGACGGAGAAAAAATTACAGCGTTGCAATCCGACAAAGGCCACGAATATTGTAACGTTGAATTATAATTGATAAACTTTTAAATTAGTGCGGCAACAACGGTATCGCGGAACGTGAAAATAGAACTCTTTTTTAGATGGCCTGGTGTATGATCAAGCATGCGGTTGCGTCTTCATCATTTTGGGCTAAAGCAGTGAACACGGCGTGTTATTTTTGAAATCGTTATGTAACGAAATCCGACAGTAGCGTATATGCAAATATTTGGTAGGAAAGCATTTGTACCAATTATATTCAAAGCTAAAAAGCGTGTTATTATAAGCCGTGATATAAAGTTTATCGACAAATCTGTTTTCCTACGCCGCTGTGTGCCCAATTCAGCCCTCTACTGCCAATAACTGGACCGCTTAAAGGTAGCACTCATCCAGCAGGGGCCATCTTTGATCAACAGAGGACGAATTGTATTCCCACAGGACAACGCCAGGCCACACATGTCTTTCGTGATGCGCCAGAAGCTCCGGGAGCTCGGATGGGAGGTCCTAATGCACCCACCTTATAGTCTGGCACCAAGTGATTACCATCTTTTTCTGTTTTTTAAATGATTTTTTGAATAACAAACCTGAAACTATTATTCTCATCAATTGTGTGGTACGCCCACGCGACTTCCATCGTCGATAGATTAAAATCTGGTTTCTCTCCGATGAAAAAATCTGATATCAATGAAGTTTGAAGACAAGCATTTGCTGCCACTTTGTGCTTCTTTGTTTTCAAATGATATTCAATATCATTGCCTCCACCAGCAGTAACCGAAAAAGTAGCATTAATTTGTCGCAACGAACGTTGGAATCGTCATAAGTGACTCTCAAATAAGGATACTTTTTCTTCAAATAAAACTGCTGAAAACACACTTTAATTTCGACATTTCACAACGTAATATGTATTCCTAAATGTTTATGTTTCAAATTCACAAAATTATCTTATCTTTTAGTTTGAATGTTGAATGAAAGTAATGAGCGGTCAGTGAACAACGCTGACGTTTGCGCCAAAATCCACTACAAAATTCAATACATTCAAACCGAATGTAGAATCCAGAAATAGAACATACAGGGTGTTATTATTTCGAAATGCACTGGTTAAACAAGTAATTTTATTTTCGCGCAAATAAGTGAAATTAATTTTTTTCAGTATACGCCTAAATCAAAGAAAGTGGTACTTTCTCGAAATGCGCTGCTAATATTATTTTTTAATTCTGCTAAAACATGAAAATTTTACTTTACCGCAAATCAGTAAAAGTGATGTTTGTAGTATATATATTCCAATTGCAGTGGTTATATGAATTTGTTAATAATACAATAACATGAAAGATTTACACTACATCAAATCAGTAAAACTGATGTTGCTCAGTATCAGCCTAAATCTAAGAAAGTCCTATATTTTCGTAATGAACTGGTTATATGAATTAGTTAATAGTGCAATAGCAACAAAATTTTACTTTAGCGCACATCAGTAAAAGTGATTTTTTTAGCACATATATTCCAATTGCAATGGTTATATGAATTTGTTATCACTACAATAACATGAAAATTTTGCTTTAGCGCAAATCAGAAAAATTGATGTTTTCTTTGGCTCAAATCAATAATATTGATATTTTTATAATAAATTAAATGTATTTTAAAATGAAAATCATGTAAAATTGATATTTTTCAGAATAAGACTAAATCTAAAAAAGTGCTATTTTTCCAAAATGCACTGGTTATATGAATTAGTTGAAAGTGCAATGGCAACAAAATATTACTTTAGCGCAAATCAGTAAAAGTGATTTTTTTAGCACATATATTCCAATTGCAGTGGTAATATGAATTTTTAAATACTGTAATTACATGAAAATTTTTCTGTAGCGCAAATCAGTAACAGTTATGTTTTTCAGTATAAGCTTAAATCTAAGAAAGTGCAATTTTTAAGAAACGCCCTTGTTATATGAATTTGTTAATACTACATAAACAAGAAAATTTTCCTTTAGCGCAATTCAGTAAAATTGATGTTATTCAGTATAAGCCTAAATAAAAGGAGTTGGTATTTTTTCGAAACGCACTGGTTATATGGATTTGTTAATTCTGCTAAAACATGAAAATCATGTAAAACTGATATTTTTCAGTATCAGATTTTTAGTATAAATATTCGAATTGCAGTGGTTATATGAATTTGTTAATACTACAATAACATGAAAAACAGTTATGTTATTCACTATAAGCCTAAATCTAAGAAAGTGCTATTTTTTTGAAATGCACTTCTCATATGAATTTTTTAATACTGCAATAACAAGAAAATTTTACTTCAGCGCAAATCAGTAAAATTATTTGTTTTCAGTATAAAAATAAATCTAAGAAAGTGCTATTTTTGCGAAATGAACTGGTTATATGAATTTCTTAATAGTGCAATAACATGAAAATTTTACTTAAGCGCAAATCTGTAAAAGTGATGTTTTTAGCATATTTTGTTGCTATAATTTGTATATAATAACGCGAATAGATCAATTTATTAAAGGACACGACGTGCTTTTACTTCGATTGTTTAGTCAAGAGTAACTCAAATTCTATATATATAATTCTATCTGTACATAGTTTGTGCATGTATTCATATAAGATGGTTATCTTATTCATATTATCTACATATCGAAAAAAGCCCTTCTAGGAAATATATTTACTTGTACTTTTATTTTATGATTTCAATACTCTTTCTCAAGTTGAATATTATTTTATTTAACATTAATATATAAGACCAATCATATCTACAAACTTTACATGATTTTGCTTTTGCAAATTTTTATTAAAAATGCCAGACACATTTTCATTTGTGGAAACATACTCTAACTCTATTTCTTTACGTTCTACTACATCTCGAATGGAATGACATTTTATCGCTATATGCTTAGTTCTCTTATGAAATACAGGATTCTTCGAAATTTGTATAGTGCTCATGTTGTCGCCTTTCAATAAAATAGGATCTTCGGAACTGTAACCTACTGCCTTCAGCAATCGACGAAGACATACTGCATCCTTTGCTGCTGTATACAAGGCGATATATTCCGCCTCAGTGCTACTTAAAGCGACGACATCTTGCTTCTTTTATTGTCTAGAAAATGTGGTGCCAGCTAGAAAGATTGAATAGCCGGTGTATGACTTCCTGCCAGTGTTATTGCTTGCCCAGTCTGCATCCGCTTAGCCTTCTACCGATTTACCACTTTTGCGATAATAAAGCTTTAAATCTAGGGTTTTTGATAAGTACCGCCGAACATGCTTTGCAACAGCCTCATGTTCGGAATGAGGATCTTGATTTGTTTGCGCCAATGAACTTACTGCATGCATTATGTCAGGACGCGTCGAAATGGCCAAAAACATTAAAGACCCAATTAGCGACTGATAGTTTGTTACGTCCACCTTAGAGCAGTTCTTATCGTTACAGCTTGTTTGAAAACCAGGAGGGGTGTGCTTACTGGACGATATGAGCTCACACCGTATACGCGCAACAACTCCTTGATATAATTTTTCTGGCACACAAATTGCACCTGTACCCTCACGTTCTATTTCGAAACCAAGAAAGAACTTCACTGTATTACCGTCTTGCAACTTAAACTATGGCGATAGTTTGCGTTTTATGTTTGTTATCTCTTCTTCACTGGGACATAATAATATTAAGTCATCAACATAAACTGCTATGTAGCTGTACAGTTTGCCTTGTTGATTGACATACAAACATGGCTCGCTTTTGCACGGATTGAAATCCAAACTCTTCAACGCTGTATCGAGTGTATTGCTCCACTCTCTATCTGACTATTTCAAGCCGTAAATATTATTTAATTTAAAGACCTTGTCCGGATTTTTACGATCTATGAAACCTTCCGTCTGCCTCATACAAATTTCTTCTGATATATTGCTATTAAGATATGCATTTGAGAGTCTATGTGATGTAAATGCAACTCTTTCTCAACAGCAATTGCAAGTAGCATACGAATCGTTTCGTATCGAATTACTGGCGAAAAAGTTTCCCAATAATTTAAACCCAGCTGTTGACTACAACCTTTCGCTACTAATCTCGACTAGAACTTTTCGATATTTCCATCTGGATCATGTTTTATACGAAAAACCCAGTTTGACCCAATTACCTTTTGGCCCTTTGGCAGCTCTACTGCTGACCAAGTGTTGTTTTTTACACTCATCTTGAATATATTTCTCCCACTCAAAGGAGTATTCGCTCGCTAATGCTGCTTTGACGGTACGTGGCGTTTCTTATTCTTCACCATACTGAAGATAATTCAACTTCTGAAACTCTTTTCTGGGACGGCCAACCTTCCCTGTATGAACAAATTTTGATCTACCACATCCACGACGCATTTTACTATTTGGGCCATGTATTTCGTTTTCTGCTTCATTTTCATCTTCGTTTTCTATTTCATCATCTACAGTGCAGCTTTGAAAATCTTCAAACTGATCTTTTTCTACATTGCTATTGTTGAAATTTGTAATTACTGTTGTTATATTGTCATCGTTTATAGTACTGTTTTTACATTCGAAACTGTCGTTGTTGAATAATTACCCGTCTCGTTTCTTTGTCATACAATAGCTTTTGCAACTTCAGAGTATCCTACAAACACATACTCGTTGCCCTTTGCCCTGAATTTACCATAATGCATTTTATTTAGTGAAAAAGCTCTTGCACCAAAAACTCTTAAATGCTTGACCGACGGCTTTTTATTGTACCATACTTCGGTGTACGGAGTAGAGTTTTTTAACAACTTTGTAGGCGCGCGATTACGTAAGTACACAGCTGTATGCAGAGCTTTGCCCTACAATTCTTCTTTTAAACCAGGATGTACCAATAAACTCCTAGCCATCTCAACGATTGTGCGGTTGACTCTTTCTGCCACCTCATTTTGTTACGGAGTATATGGCACAGTCAATTGTATTTTAAATCCGCATTCGACTAAAAATTCACTCATTATTATTGGTGTACTCCGTACCATTGTCACTACGCAACTTTTTGATTTTTTTATGCGTTTGGTTTTCTACCATAATTTTAAATGTTTTAAAATGTTCAAAAGCTTCGCTCTTTTCCTTTATACAATACACAAAAATCATTCGCGAAAAATCGTCTGTAAATGTAAGAAAATAGCGTGCACCACCCGCTGATTTTATGTTGAGCGGAAAAGGGACTGCACATAGGAAAAGGGACTGCACATATTTTTGACTTATTTCATTTATCGCAACTCGTTTTAGAGTTAATGTCTGTTTTATTTAGTCCACTCACTAAATTATTGTCGACGATTTGCTTTAAACTTTCAAAGTCTATGTAACCATACCGATTATGACACATCATATTGCTTAACATAATTTTCGAATTATTCACTTGCACATTAAAAATAAACAAATTCTGTTGCAATTCGGCTCTCAGTAGAGTTGTCCCTTTCGAGTTTTTTACTTCAACACAAAACTCTTTGAATAACACTGTATTTTTATACGTCATTGCTTTGCTCACCGAGTAAAAGTTCATTTTGAGTCAAGGTACAAATAAAACATCACGCAATTCTTATACACATTCTTTTGTCCTTATTTGCACCATACCAACACCTTGCGAGTAAATTAAATTGTCTGCTGCTAACATTACTTTTTCTTGTTTTTCGACAAACGAAACAAACATATCTCTATCGACGCACCAAGCATATTTATTCTTTTCAACTCCCACTGTCGCTGCATACACAGCATATGAAAGCTCATTGTCTCCTTCGTACTGCTTAACACTTTGATTGGTTTGCTGTTTTCTTTTTTTCGTACACTGCGCTATCCTAGGTCCTCGCATACCACAAGCAAAACATTTGCCTTTGAAATCATTTGAATTTGCATTTTTACATTTGCTTTTTCATTCCCAAGTGATTTGTTGCCACTATGCGCTGAATCTTTAACACGAGCATAGACCGCTTGCGCCGACGGCTCTTGATTTATCTGCTGATCCCTTCTAGCACTTTCTTCTAAAAGCTCGACTTTTGGTGTATGCATTGATTTGTGTGGTTTTTTTTTCGAAAATTAAGACTTTATTGTGAAAGAATTGTTATACATTTAATGTTGCCCATCTTTCTGGCAGTTTGTGGATCCCATCCCAAAAGAACTTCTCCGGCTTGGAGGTCAAGAAAGAATCGAGCCAATTTCCGATACCCTGTTCTGAAGTGAAGCGTACTCCGGTGAGGGCATTCTGCATTGATCTGAACAAGTGGTAATGGGAAGGTGCTATGTCTGGGCTATAAGGCGGGTGAGGTAGAACTTCCCACCCACAGTTTCCAAATAGTTTTTAACTGGCCTTGCAACACGTGGCCGAGAGTTGTCATGATGAAAAATTATTGATTCGTGTCTGGTCGTTTTCCGCGATGGCCTATTTCAAACGAATCAATTGTTTTCGGTAGGGTCCCCATTGATCGTCTGACCCGATTTCAATAGCTCATAATAAAGCACACCCTTGTGGTCTCACCAAATACATAGCATAACCTTGGCATGATGGATGGATGTCGATGATTGGCCGGGCTTCACATACGATTTCTTGTCCTTTGGGTTATCATAATTAATCCATTTTTCATTACCAGTGACAATCCGATACAAAAATTACTTCTTTTGGTGGCGTTGAAGCAACATTTCCGACATGCAGAATCGACGTTCGACGTCTCTCGGCCTTAATTCATAAGGCACCCAATTTCCAAGCTCCTAATGATTTTAATCGTCTGGAAACGGTTGCTTGATCAACTCCTAACACTTTTGCAAGTTCTTCTTGCGTCTGGCATGCATCTGCGCCGAGCAATGTCTAGAATTCTTCGTCTTGAAATTTTTTTTGGCTGTCCGGGTCGTTCTCCGTCGTCTATGTCGAAATTGCCACTTTTAGACCGTGCAAACTACTTTTGGCACGTTCGTTCGGCTAAAGCATGGTCACCATAAACGTTCAGTAAAATACGATGGTTTTCTGTAGCTCTTTTCTGCATGTTAAAGTAATGAAGAAGAACTTCCCGCAAAAACACTTTATCTGGTACAAATTTCGACATTTTCAAATG